TATTTAATAGTTTTAGTTTAGAGAGGTTGAGATAGCCTCGATGGACCAATAGGACCCTTGTTGTCTCTAAACATTATGTTAAGATTTGTCACATAAGTTGAAAACATCAGTCTGATTCTGATTCTGGCAAGTCAGAGTGCAAGTTGATGTTCATGTGAAGAATAAAAATACTTTTTTTTCCATGATACAGTTTTCATAATGCATTTGCACAACTTCTAGAACCTCTTAAATGCAAATCTATAATTTTTATTATCCCTGTATATTTATATCTGGTATTCATTCTCCTCTTCTACCATGAACCATCTCTGTCTCAGCAAAGTAGGGTAAAATTAAGTTCATAACTCTGACATCAAATACATAATAATATGTTGAATGCCACCCAGTAAAAGGTCATGGCATGTACACTTTGAACCTTGCCCATGCATATAGGGTTAAAGTAGTATGTCTTAAACAGATGTAAAGAAAATTCTTTCTCCTAGTGAGATCTGCTTCCTGAAATCAGTAGATAATAATTTGTGAGCCACTTTATAATATTTTTTAAGTCACTGAGTAGTGGGCAGGTACTATAGAATTGGAAGGTGGCTAATGTTACTCCTATTTTTAATGGAGGCGATTAATACTGTCCAGGTAATTAATAACCTATTATTCTTACATCAGTGGTGGTTAAGTTTTTGAAAGTCTGATAAAAGATGAATTGCAAAGACATCCAAAAAAGTTTAAAATCTTGTTGGCTGGCGAACATGGTTTCACAAGGAGCAATTCTTGCTTTACTAATCTTTTGACATTTCTGAAGAAATTATTGCTTAAGTAGATAATGGTAAGGGTGTTGATTTGATATCCAGTTTTCAGAAAGCATTTGATGAAGTGCCACATAAAAGATTTGTTGTTGTTTTTTTAGTCAATTATTTCTGTTATCTTTCTTTTTCAGGAGATCATCAATTCCTCTTTAAACTTTTGTAAAGTGGCAGCTTCTAATACTGCTAATAACACCATTCCATAAGTCAATAAATCTGTTAGAGAAATAAAATATTTTATTTGCAGCTTAACCTGTTTATAACAAATCTTAAACTTGTGTCCACTCACTGTGTTATATTCGTAACACAGCACAAAAAAAGGAACCATTTACAATAGTAACTAAAACAATTAAGGTTAAAACCATGAAAAGAAAAAAATAAATTTAAAGGGGAGAGTATAAAACATGAATTTCAATGTTAAGCAGTGTAAAGTTATGCAACTGGGAGTGAACATTTTGGAAAACAAAAATTCCTTCTGTAAGAGCAGCATTGGAGACTTTGGAAAAAAAAAAGTATACATTAGGTGTCACAGCTGATAAAAACTAAAGCCTTTTTTTATCTGTTTAGTTATGCTGAGAAATCAAATAAAGTTCTTGATTTTACCTACAGGAATTATAAAATTAAGAACAAAAATAAATATCTATCTATATGACTGGTAAAGTTTCATGTAAAATAATGTATGCAGTTTCATTTCCTCTACTGTAGTAAGAACAACAATATGTTGATAATATTGCAAAAACAGACTACTACTACTACTGTTACTACCCAGCTGATGATTGAATGCTTGCTAATCATTCCAGGTTTTAGTTTTGTGTATTAATTTATAACTTTAGTCAGTTTGTTGAACATGACTGACATTATTAGTTTCCAAGTGACATGGGCCATGATTCTGAGGAAAGGCTTAAAGTTTTTCACTTTTTTTTTTTTTTCTGTGGTACAAATGGATCATAGAAGATTTGATCCAGTAGTTAGAAGTTTGGATAGCATTTCTATGGACAATATGTTTGCACTCTGGAAGTGAATTAAATGGCTGTAAATATGGTCTTGAATATTACAAATAACACACTTAAGTTCCTGAACCTACAATGTTCCTAACTCAGGACCTATGTCTATTATCTGTAAAGCACATGACAGCCATTGTTCAATGTGCTGTGGGTTCCTTGATACCCACACACTGATTCTTATGCTAAATTATATTTTGGTTATTTATACACTTGGAGAGTAATGGTATGCCTAATGATGTGGTGTGTGCTATTTGAATTGTTTTAAGCCTTTGTTGGATAGGTATATAGATAGAGAACTGGAGTAAATGTTTTTTGTTTGAGCCCCCTTTTCCTTTGGTGAAGGGGAAGTAATACAAATTACTAGGATTGATTTGTTTGATGGTTTCAGCTCTCCTTTTTCATTTAGTAGGTAAGCAATGATCCCAATGAGCCTATCAACCCTCTTTTTCCTTTGAATTCTTAAATTAAGAATATTCTGACCAAGAAAACAACTAGAATGTATTTGCCACTTTGAAACTTTATACCAGATTTCTTTATACGAGGGTTAGACAAAAATTATTAACATCATATCCATTTCAACCGAGTAAACATAATCAAAATTAAATAAGTCTGTGCAAAAGGCAAGGCCACCTCCATATGGTTGGTAAGACCATTTACATAAGCTAAGCCATTTCATGTTTATGGAATGGATGCATAAGTAGCCAGAAGGAAAACCTCTCAGCCTACCAAAGAGACTTGAATGTAGGAGCTTGTGAAATAAAGGCTTCTGTTACACTTAAAAAAAAATTGCTTGTGTAATACATGTAGTTTCAGGTGTGATGTTCCCACAAAACATAAGTGTGACAAAACTGACTTAACTTAGACACAGTTCAATGAAGAAAATTTCAACTATTTAAACTATTAATATTACAGCAAAAATTAGTGTTTCACTTGTAAAACCAATGATAGAAAAGTCAGTAAATGGAAGGGTGTGTGTGTGTGTGTGTGTGAGCAAACTGGGATTTCAAGCCAGAACTGAAATATGTACTCAACAATGATGTTGTGATCTTTGCAATGGATCTTGGACAAGTGGAGGTAAGTAAAATGATCTTACAAGTAACTTTTCTAATATTTATGTAAAAAGGCTCCATGAGAAATTGAGCCCTTTACAACAATTAAGGGTAAAAATTACCATCACACACTATTAAAGCATCTTAATTAATCAAATGTTGGCAAAGTTGCAATATTATCACTCCAATATAAATTGGGTGCTAATATAGCGTACAGTATACTAAGATATTTACAGTACAGCATGCAGTCTACACAGATACTATCACCATTACCATTTTAACTTTCGTTTATTTGAAATTGACACCATTTATTATAAATAACACTTTTACATTAATAAAGTACAAAATACCATTACAAAATCTTTTGGGGGTAAGTATAACTGGAATAAAATAAATACCGACAATTAAAACTAGCACAA